TCAGGTACCCAGGTCATGCAGGGCTTTAAAAGTAACGACCAGCACCTTGAAGCGGGTCCGGAGTCTAATGGGTAGCCAGTGCAGCTCGCGGAGGATAGGTGTAACATGGGTGTACCTGGGTGCACCCACAATCGCTCGCGCGGCTGCGTTCTGGACTAACTGAAGTCTTCGAACACTCTTCAAGGGCAGCCCCATGTAGAGCGCGTTACAGTAATGTATTTCTTTGCTGCTTCGAATGACACTCCGAGAAAGCAGAGGGTCCCTGCAGTCTAGAGCGAATTGGGGTGGGTGGGGGGAAGTTCCCCCAAATTTGGCCGCTTTAAGAATCATGGACTTCAACTCCCAGAATTCCCCAGCCAGGCCGAATTCTGGGAGTTGAAGTCCACAAGTCTTCAAAGCAGCCATGTTTGGGAGACCCCCTGGGCTAGAGGATTTGCTGGCTGTAAAATCAGGCGAGCCCCCCACATGTGTCCTCATCACCTTCCTCCCATCCTCCCCCCCCCCCCAAACAAAAGCCTTTGGCAACACTGCACCTTGATGTGCCTTTTCTTGCTTTGAGAATTGTGTGTGTCTGTTTTTTCCCTCCCATGAATGTGATCCGTCCGGTTGACACGCTGCTCGCTGGCCTGGAGCGCATCAGTCCTCAAACACGTTACAGCCGGGCCTTCCAACTCTTATTTTGTAAATTAACCAACGGAACTGCTTGCTACCAGAAGTTGTGGGGGCTTCGTCACCGGAGGCTTTTAAAAAGAGATTGGACAGCCACCTGTCTGAAATTGGAAAGGACAGTGATGGCAAACCTTTTCGGCCCTGAGTGCCAAAACCGGAACATGCGTGCCGCAGTGCCAGAAATCCGAAGACCAGCTGGCCGGTGTGCTTGCACATCCTGGCCAGCTGGTTTTCAGGTTGCCAGCACACGCCAGTGCATGCATGCCTGTTTTTTGGCTGTTTTTCAGGATGGTTTCAGCCCCAAAACTGCCTGAAAACACCCCCCAAACAGCCTGTTTTTTGGTGATTCGTTGGGCCGTTTTCAGGCTGTTTTCCGGCGCCCGCAAAGACCAGTTGGTGACAGCGTGCGTGCCCACAGAGAGGGTGTGGGTTCTCTTGCTTGAGCAGGGGGTTGGACTAGAAGACCTCTGAGGTCCCAGGAATAACTCTGTTATTCTTGATTCTGCTCTTCAGTCAAGCTGTTTCTTGGCATTTGGGGGGTGGGGTGCTGAAGTTTGATCTCCCCCCTCCTTCTGAGGGTCTCACCTTCTCACGCGAGCTTCAGGAGCTGCGTCCCATCGCCAGCTCCCCAGCACAGGCTTTGGGGAGTCCCAGGTTGATAGGTTGTGTAGTCCAAGCCTTGGGGAAGCCCACCCCGGGAGATGAGTTCTATTCTGCTCCCTCGTTGTAGCTTGAATCTCTTGCAAGGATCTCAAATGTGTGTGTGGGAGGGGGAGACCTTCCTGCATGGCTAAAGGCAGTCCTTGACTTACGACCCCCATTGAGAGCTGAATTTCTGTTGAGCAAGGCCGTTTTTAAGTGAGTTACACCCAATTTTACGACTTGCCATGGTCATTTAAGCAAATTACGGTGGTTACTAGGTGCAGTCATTAAGCGAGCCATGCAGTCATAAAGTGAACCTGGCTTGCCTCATTGGCAAGATCAGAAGCCAGCGAGTTCACATGACCCAGGGAGGTTGCGAACATGGCTCGATTCATCCTGGGGGCCAAGTTGCTTGAATTTTCATCCCATCATTGCGGCATTAAATCGCACCACGGTTATTAAAAAGGGTGATGGCCAGTTGTAAACCCCACTCCTTTTTTCTCTCTCTCTCCGCTGCCATTGTCACTTTGGAACCGTCACTAAATGAATCGTTGCAAGGAAGAAAACTGGCTGCACCGAGTTGAGTTTTTTTGCAGGAGTGAATATAAAAGCCAGGAATTGACAGGAGCTGATTTTTGCTTTTTTTTTAAATCTGCAAAATGATATTTGAGGTTGTGGTGTTCCCACTCGTTAAGCTCAGGAGCCTGGGGTCAAAGGAAGGTTTGGTGGCAGCTGGACTAATTGGCGGGGGAGAGAGCAGGGGGGGGGGGCTTTCTTGCAACTGTTTGGATCAGAGACCCCCAAACTTGGCAACTTGAAGACTTGTGGACTTCAACTCCCAGAATTCTCCAGCCAGCTATGAAGTTGAAGTCTGCAAGTCTTAAAAGTTGCTAAATTTGAAGACCTCCGATCTAAGTGGAGAGTTGCAGAGGAAGGGATTGCAAGAGAGTAAATTAGGCTGGCTGGGGAATTCTAGGAGTTGGAAGTCCACAAGTCTTAAAAGTTGCTAAATTTGAAGACCTCCGATCTAAGTGGAGAGATTGCAGAGGAAGGGATTGCAACTCTCCACTTAGATCGGAGGTCTTCAAATTTAGCAACTTTTAAGACTTGTGGACTTCCAACTCCTAGAATTCCCCAGCCAGCCTAATTTACTCTCTTGCAATCCCTTCCTCTGCAACTCTCCACTTAGATCGGAGGTCTTCAAATTTAGCAACTTTTAAGACTTGTGGACTTCCAACTCCTAGAATTCCCCAGCCAGCCTAATTTACTCTCTTGCAATCCCTTCCTCTGCAACTCTCCACTTAGATC